CGCGGGGGGCCTGGCCAGCCCTGACGGAGGGGATCTCTTTCTCCCGCAGGCAGAACCATGGCCAAGTCCAAGAACCACACCACGCACAACCAGTGTAAGCTCGGGGGCTGCGGGCGAGGCGGGGGGGGAGGGGGGGGGTCGGCGGGGGGGTTTTTCCCCGCCGAGGGGTTTATCAGCTGCTTTGGCCTGCCCGGGTGACAGCCCAGGCTGCCTTGGTTTGGTTTAAGCTCCTGAGGGAAGGCAGTAGCGGTACGCAGAGGTCAGACGGTGCGTTTAGTGATGAGAGCGCTTGGCGAGAGTCAGGACTTGTTTGAGCTTAATATAAAAGTAGTACCTGAGCAGAAGAAAAAGCAGGTTTCGTATATTTGAATGAAGCATGTCACTGAACGGTGTTCAGTCTTTGGTGCTTTGCTGTCCAGGTATGACCACAGGGAGTAAATAGTTCAGATTGGGTTATTTTTTTTTTCATCGATGCTGTAAGTCAGCAGAGTTCATGAGTAGGTTCTGCTTGGTCTTTCCTAGTGAACGATGGTGCCCTCTCACACTAAACACATGTGCTTCAGCTTCTTAATGACTGAGGCCTTTCGCTGTGCTAGTAGTGTTACTGTTGGTGTGTTATTAGTTAACGAGGAGCCTGAAATCCTTGGATTAGAAACTCAGTGCTGAAAGTACAGCGTGCAGAAGGATGAGAACAGAGATGCTTTCTTAATTTGCATTCAGTTGGGATAGGAAGGGTTCGAAAATTTTCTGTTCTGAATCATTTTGGTACGAGTCAGATAGACTTAAAGGAAAGCTAATGCAGCTATTTAATAATGACAGAATTGTAATTTAAATTGTTTCCTGGTCTTCCATATAGCTCGTAAGTGGCACAGAAATGGCATCAAGAAACCCAGATCCCACAGATACGAATCTCTGAAAGGGGTGAGTATTTCTGTTGGTATGCGCAGGCTGTTAAGCCACTTTCATTTAACCATGGAAAAAATCCAGTATTTGTGTTACTTTGGCTGACATATTTTTTGTGGACCTGGTCTTGTGTTTCAGATGGTCAGAACCACTGTGAGTTTCTGTTTCAACTTTTGCTTTCCTTACATGCAGTTGTGATATTTCTAACCCACATGAAATCTGCCTTTGTATGTCTATAAAACTGCTTTTTAGTTATTAACCAACTTTGTATTTGTCGTGGTGAGGTGGATGTCACTGACTGCTGCTCCCAGGGAAACAAACATGTCAGTTGAATAGGTCTTCTCTGTTTCTCCTACAGCTTAGTACCCTTCAATATTATTTTACCATCTATAGTAATCAAGAGAATTTCACTCAGAAGATGAGAGGAATTGGCATTTCTGGACAATGCATATGAAAATAACAGCATTTTGCTCTTTCTCAGGTTAAAGAAGTGATATAACAGGATCTTTTTCCACACTTGAAAGTGCAAATGGAACATTTTGGCTTTGGGGAGGGCTGTGATTCTGTTTGCTCTGTAGATTTGATTATCAGCTTTTTGGATGCGAAATAAAAGCTTGTCTTGTGCATAGCTCAGTGAGAGTTCAGTCCTGCTCCCTCCTGCAGGTAGTCCAGCAGACTCTGGGTCTGTCTCTTTGTACCGAGTGCGCGTGAATTAAGGTCACAAAATCCCAGTACTCATGTGTGCCAATTAAAATGCTGTTTACAGTAAAATAGCAAATGTTTCTCACTAGGACAGTAGCTGATAGTTCTGAGATTTGGTCCTAACCGCAATGGGATGTGTTAGTGAGCCATTAGCTGACAAAAACTGGGGAGCAACTCTTGTCCATCTGGTCATTTTTTTGCTTCAATGGCAAAAGGAAAGGCCTGAGGAAATGTCATTCGTGTTTGCCCAAGATCTGGTCATTTTTTTGCTTCAATGGCAAAGGGAAAGGCCTGAGGAAATGTCATTGGTGTTTGCCCAAAGATTACATGTGTGCGTGCTTGCCTGTCGAGGCTGGTTTGTGGTACTTCGCGTCCAGAATGTATTGTGACTGGAAATGAAATTTGTCTTGTTTATAGCTTTACTCAACTTGTCCTATTCTTTCTGTATGTTTATTGCTGTGGTTTTGGGTTTGTTTGCTTGCTTGTGGAAATCAAGGAAAATAGCTAGTGAAAGGATGGCTACAGATGGCTAAAATAATATTGTGGGTGTAATAAATAAAAAAAAAATTCGGAATTAATCATTGTCAGCATCTGAGAATAATTGGAACAATCTGGAGACATATATATGTATCTGGTTTTGCGTATGTCCCTTCTATAACATGGTTTATTTTTCCTTATTTTTATAGGTTGACCCCAAGTTTCTGAGGAACATGAGATTTGCAAAGAAACACAACAAAAAGGGGCTGAAGAAGATGCAGGCCAACAATGCCAAGCAAGCAGCTCAGCAGAAAAAGGACTGACGTGGTTTAAGACAAAGAACCGTTTTTCCTATTGACATGCTTGTTACAGCATTTTTGTAAAAATAAAATTGGACATAACAAAGTCTTCACCTCCTGACTTTGAGGAGAACCCCCTAAAAGTCTTGTTTGAGTTGTGTTTTAGATGCCAGCTGGAGCTGTGGAGAGGTTTTGTGTTAATATTGTCAGCCTCCACGCGTACAAAGTGAAACAGCTGCTCCCTCAGTGCTGTTCTACTGTAATTGTTGGTACAGGTCATGAGCATTTAGGAGTTCGGCATCTGTTTTCGAGTTCTGAAATGGTTATTGAGTGAAGCTCTAAAATTCAACAAGAAACAGCTTGTTTCTTTTCATGCAAATTGAAGCCAGTATTGCCTGGACTCTCAGGTAAAATGATTTTTGATACTGGCGTGCGTGTTCAGGATTCTTGTATACTACAATTCTTATGACAGTTCCTAGTGCTGTTACAACAAGATGAGATTTCCAGGGGCTGTTACATGTCTGCTGCTTTGCTATGCTGGTAAGGTAGTTACAGCTACAGAAATCCTGAAAAAGGGGAGGGTACTGAGTGCCAGCTGTGGTATTAGAGATTGTAGCAGTTGGTGTTAGAAGTGGTATCTGTTGTATTCTGAAATACTTGAAAGTACTGAAGTGTTAATGGAGTTCCCATGGGAATGTGTAATGTTACAGGACTATGTAAAATACCCCTGTATTTCATAGTTACTGTATTTTAGTGGAGATCTTTTATGCAAGTAACAAAGTACCTACCAGATGAAACGTGCTGGTGAGATCTGGGAGGTGGGTGAGATCAGGGGAGTAACATTCAAAAGCCTGAGAGATGCCATGATAGGGTTTTGTCACTGCTGTCATTCTCTAGATCAGGAGAGGGCTTCATGCACCAAGTCCCACCAGCCAGCAAAGCTGATTCAAGAGGTGCTTTTGTTACTGAAATGAGCCACCTACTAAAATGCAACGAACCGTTCTTGAAATTGCAGTTCCAGCGCTTGTCCACCTGGTGGTGTAAATCTGCAAACTGATGAGGGCTGGAAGTTCACCTCTATCTTCTGACTTTGCAGTATAGCAGCAAAACACCTGCTGGATAAAAAAAAAATGTCAACTGAAACATCCAGCTACTGTAATTGGATTTTTAAAAAATAGTTTAGCTAGTTGCCAAAAAGCAATATTATTTTGAAACAAGGTAAATATTTTGAATTCTTTATGGCTTGAATTTTATAAAGAGATTTACTAACTGCAAGCTCAGGAGTTGAGGGCTTTTAAAGTCTGAGGGAAATCTGCAACCCCCAGCTGTCTGATTCCGGCTGCATGCATCTCTTGGACTGTTGTTGAAGTTAACATTTGTCAGCTGAAAGAACTTAGTTGCTGTGCAGGAGCAGCATGCTGGTCAGGAGGGGTGCTGTGCTGGAGGGAGCATCCAGTCACAGGGTTCGTACCACCAGTTCAGGTCTGCTAAATAGTCAAGATGAAAAGGTTGCTGGGTTCCTGCTGCCCTCAGGAAAGGCAGGAGGCCAACAAGCAAGAGGTTCCTGGTGGTGTTAATCCTCCCTGGAGAGGTTGGTTGGTTGGTTTGTTTGTTTTTGCAAGTGATAGGTCACCCAGAGAGAGATCCACAGTGCTTAAATCCCACTGGCCTCAGTGGTACCCAAGTGCTTGTGGGTATCAGAGGTCTCAGCCTGTGTTGCTGGTGCCTTCCCTGCTTGAGCAAGTTTGTCTACAAAGGCAAGATTGCGTAGCTGTGCTTCAGATTAGCGTACACATCTGGCAGCCTCAGCCCCTAGCCCAGCACTGCCCAGCCTCCCCCTGCAGCCCTTGCTGGGGCTGGCAGAGAGACCTAGCATAGGGAGATGTTCCTTTGGGTTGCTGCTGGTGTTGGCAGAGACAGTGTGTCTGGTCCAACTGTGTAAGTGAAGGTCAGTTTGGTGCAGATGTGTATTGCAACAAGAAGAGCAAAGGAAATAGCCTCTGAACAGAGAACTTTGTGTTGCTGCACCTTGACCTGTGTGTCTGCGTGTCTCCAACCTGTTTTGAGTTCTGCATTTGAAATCTCTAGTGGTAGGGCTTTTCTGTCTAGGAAGGGGGATTTAATCTCTAAACCTTCTTGGTGTCTTCCTCAGAGCATCTGTGTTATAAGAGTAGCTCACCCATAGGATGTGGTTTGAGGGAAAAGAGAGAGGGGCAAGGGCTGGGCTGAGAAAAGGATGTTGGCATGTTAACAAGAAGCAGAGAGGAAGATTTGGGCTTCCTGTGGCTCCAGGCAGCTCCCTCAGGCCTGCTTCAGAAGCAACCTTTTCATCTCGCTGCCCTTCATGTTGCCCTTCAGTGGGACGGCTTCCCAAATATGGGCCTGCTGACTTTCTGACCAAAATAGCGGCTGCGTGACAAAATGCAGCACGGAGGAACGTAACCTTAATCCAGGCATCATTGTGTAGCAAGAGACAGGAATTCCGTGAGCTTCCACAGCAGCTCGGTGTCAGGTTTGTTGTTGCCTCCTCCCTGCATGCATGGTGGTCCCCCAGGACACTGCCCAGCCATCGGTCGGTCGATCACCTATCGTGTTTTCTGACACAGTAACAGCTCACTCCACATCTTCCTGCCTTGTTGTAGAGGTTACCCCAGCCCAGAAGGGAAAGCTGCAAAGGGGAGTCAGTGCTGACATGGCCTCATGGTGGGTCTTCAACCTCTTTCACTTGCCCTGTGAAATCATTTAAGTTCTGTGTCTTGATTTCTGTTGGTCAAGTGAGGCTGAAGATCCTTTTTGGGAGGATTACATATACAGAGCCCTGGAGATGGAACTGGCAGCTGTGGTCCACTTGAAACTGTTCCCATTACACAGAGCTCTGTCATCTTTGACATTTAAAAACTTCAAAACTCTTTAAGTCCTTTGTATCCTGCAGGAAGCCAATGAGCTTGAGAGTGTCTCTGCTCAGCTACTGCTGTACATCAGCCTATACATTTTGTGCTTGCTGCTGCCTTACATTGTACTTGCTGGAGGTGATTTCTCCCCTTTGGAAGTAAGAGTATCAAGTTCTGTTTTGGTTCCTTTATTCCCTTTGATTAATAAAAAAGAGGGGGGGGGAAGCAAAGGGTGTGTAACCAAATACTGAATCAGCTCATTTGGCAAAGGTGAGCCATCATGCTGAAAGCCAAGAGCACAGGACTGGGGAGGAGAAATCGAAGCACTGCAAAACATTCTGATGGGGCAGAGGATTCGCTGGGGACATTGATGTTAGTGAAAATGAGAAGTAGGGCTGGATATGTGTTGCTCTATCTGTTTACCACCTTTCAGTAGTGTGTTCAAGCAAAAAGCAGTGAACAGGACTTGCCCAAGTTTCAAGGCTGTCGTAGGTGTTTCTACACAAGAGAGGCTTTGGTGTGGTGAAATGTTTATCTGATGTACCCTAGTTAACATCCTATTGCTGCTGCCCTGGTGGCAGATGAATGGTTCTAGGCAAGATGCAGAGGTTTTATTAGGGGGATGTGTACAAAATGTTCTGCAATCACTGTTCACACGGCAGTTTTACTGAGGGCTGAAGAGAGGCATCAAGTACACTGGAAAAGCTGCAAACTGGGGCAGGAGTTAAATCAACTGCCAGCAAAAGCAGGCAGATCAAATGGCCTGAGAGCTGTGTCTGTGTCCAGTGGCACAGGCTGCTGTCACAGCACAGCTCCTGTCCCGACTGTTTTAGAGAGTGGTAAATGGCTTTTTGCCTGATGTAAAAGAATAATTTCAATTACTTTTTTTTCCACAAGCAGTGCATGTAGACATGTGTCATATTCCTTAAATTCTGGTACCAGCAGTTTCCTACACATGCAGGGAAAACTGTGAATTTGTTTGGAGCTGCATGGATACATGGAATCCCGTGGGTGGTTTTCATTCATCGTTAGCACATTTCCAGGCACATCCCCTCTGTGAAGGCTTCAACCAGGCTGATCCTGTGCTTGTTACTGGTTTTTCAGCCATCTAACCCACTCACTGGCCTGTCATGCCACGTTGCATTCCTAATGCAGTTGTTGCTGCGTTTTAGCCAACAGTGAAATCCACCCACAGCGCCCCACCCTGTGGCATTTGCTCTCTTACTTTTGGATAGTAGTCTGTGTTAAGACTAAATGGTCTTGCAGCCGTTTTTCTGACACAGAGTGCTGACCTGCTGGCACCTCTGGTCTAAGGGCTAAGAAAGCCCAAATAGTCCCCAATGTGTCTGCTCTTCTAGGGACGAGTTTCAGCTGCTACAAGACCTTGGTCCTCTCCAGCCACCACCTTCCCTGTTTTACTGTTGGAAAAGAGTGGGCAGCCAGCTAGGTTGTGGCTTGCTGCTGTCTGTGCCATTGAACCGAGGGGGGAGAGCCAAGACACATGGCCGGGGGCTCTTTGCAGCCATCCGTTTCCCTGGGGTCACAGCAGAGGCCAAGCCTCCCCCAAGCCACCAAGTTGTCTGAAGGGAGGGGGTTAGCCTTATTTCTTTTCTAATTCACCCTTCAGTGAGCCAAAGCCTATCAGTAGTGGTGAAGAATGTCTTGGAGATGTCATCATGGGTGTTGGGATCTGGTAGGGACAGAGGAAGATAAAGGGGGTGATGCCTGCTGAGATGTGAGAGTGTGGGTTGCCTGTGGGCTGGATGGCTGTGGCTGTGGGGAGAGCTGGTGTCACCCTCCGAAGCCCAGATACTTGCAACTCCCTGGAGGTTTCCAGGCCTGGGGTAAAACATTTCCGCTGTGTCCTCAGAACCAGGCATCAGTGGGAAATGATTTATGCTGCTACACTGGGGAGGTGGAAGGTGATTGTTTTTGATCTCTGGGCCGTGGATTCATTGCAAACGTAAGATGGTAACCCTCAGGAGCATTTCCTGTTGCAGGGTTGTTTGACGCAACATGTTTCTGTGTCTGTTGGTTTCTGGTGGACCCGCAGTTCTGCTGAATCAGCAGGAACTATGGCATCGAGGGCTTGGGACACTCAGCGAGACCCCTCTGAGCAGGTCTTCTGGGTGTTTGCATTAGAGGTGTCCGCAGAATATCCTGGGTTTTAAGGAAAATCAGCTGCTCTAAGTGACAGGGGTTCATTTCCTCAGTTTCACTGATGTTACAAGTCCTGGTTGGACAAAACACTTGGTGCTGGTTGTGCAGAGGAAAGACACAGCCATGTCCTTCCAAACAACCCACAGCTCCTCTCATGCCTCTTTTCACATCGAGCCTGTTCGGTCTGAATGACAATATTTAATTATTGATACAAATTGGAGTGTGTGTCACATCAAACACAGATGCTCAGGATGTTACTTTCACGGGGGGGAGGCGGGAAAGCTGGTTTTGGGAGGAAAGGCAGACGGCTGGTGCAGCGGGCCCAGGGGCACTGCGTGGCAGCACGCTCGCCCAGGGCCGAGGGCGGCATCGCCAGGGCTCGCGCCGACAGTCTCGCGCCTTGCCCTGCCAATGTTTATTTTACTTGGGTAAACGTTTGATTTTAGCAACACGACTGCAATGTGTGAGCTGTGCTGGGGCTGTAATTCGATGGGAGGAGGCAGCTATGTGCAGGGAGAGCTGCTAATGCCACAGGAATGTCGCGCTTCCTTGGGG